TTTCTCAGCCCAATCCCCTGAACTCACACACCAGCCTCAGTGTTACTCTGTGGGTCACAGTAGGACAGCCAGTGACTTACTAGCATCAATAAACCAACATTTCAGACAGAGGGGAATATGGAGAGCACTGCAGAGAGACAGATTTGGGACATGTCAGTTACTGCTTTAACACCAGAGCAGACAGCCAGCCCATGGACGTGACTTTTACAATGATGCAAGCAAATTAAATATGTGAATGCTTTGTAGGATAGATTAACCCAATGTGTTGAATGGAATTCAGGCAATCTGAGACATAACAATTTAGCCCCCATCTCTCTGTCTCTCTCTGTTTCTCTTTCTCTCTTCTTTCTCCCACACACACATACGCACACACACACACAAAGCTTTAGAGCTTATCTTAATACTTACAAAATAGAGCTGTCTGCATTTTAAGATCAAGAAAGTACATTAGCCGTGTAGCAGCTAAAGTTCTTGGATTCCTGGAGATGCGATGAATGTGACATTTGCATGATTAAGTAGGATGATATTCACTCAGCTCTCTGGTTTTCAGATGAAGTCCCTCCCGTCTCTATAGCCCCAGGGAAGGAGCCAGCCAGTACACTGATGTTACATAATCCCAAGGAATAGCCAAGCAGAGCGAGATCAATCGGGCATTGTGTGATTGATTACAAACCCTGAACTCAGCATTAGTACCATCACACTGAGACAAACAAACCATCGAAGTGGAAGAAAAACAATAAACATTGTCCTCTTTTTCAGTTGAATGTCCACAGAAGATCACCTTTATTTAGTCTTAATTGAGTTAGCACGCAACACATTACATAAGTGCAGGATGGGGTCCGTTTTACAAGCTGTTTGGTTGATAGAGTATGTATTTGCATTGTGTCACATGTTTTTGGTTATAAAGATAGTTATAGGTGAAATCATCGCTGTTCAATAGCAGCTGAGTTGATGAGGTAGACATGGAGACACTCATAAACAAAATATTATGTTATTTACATGTCCCAATGCAATCCACACAATCACATTAAACCGACCTACTCTCAGATCATTGAAAATAGAGACATTACCCACAACAATCTGCATAGTGCCATGTAACGATGTGTTAAACTCATAGGGCTGGTTTCCTAGACTCAGATGAAGCTTATTCCTGGAATAAAAAGCACTTTCGATGTAGATTCTCCATTGATAATGTTTTTTGGTCCAGAAGAAGGGTTAATCTGGTAAGGGAAACCCATTATGCTAGTTGGAAAGTCGGAGAGAGGAACCCCCTGATATAGAATAGCACTGCAATGGCCTGAAAACAAAGCTCACAGGTAATTGAACGAAAAAGTGAGATCTCCTATTGAAATGGTAATGAAATGGTTCTGTATCCAATGCCAACAGTAACATTCCTAATAGGGATGACACATTTATAATATGGCAATTATACTGATTGAGGAGAAATTGCTCTCTTGATTGCAGCACAAGGCTCTTGGGCAACCACATTGAGTGGTTGTTATATCTTAAGTCATGATACATGTACAAGGGAACATCATGTATTTTACATACACTGCCAGTCAAAAGTTTGACACACCTACTCATTCAAGGGTTTTTCTTTATTTTTTACTATTTTTTTACATTGTAGAATAATAGTGAAGACATCAAAACTATGAAATAACACACATTGAATCATGTAGTAACCAAAAAAGTGTTAAACAAATCAAAATATATTTTTATTTGAGATTCTTCAAATGGCCACCCTTTGCCTTGATGACAGCTTTGCACACTCTTGGCATTCTCTCAAGCAGCTTCATGAGGTAGTCACCTGGAATGCATTTCAATTAACAGGTGTGCCTTCTTAAAAGTTAATTTGTGGGATTCCTTTCCTTCTTAATGTGTTTGAGCCAATCAGTTGTGTTGTGACAAGGTAGGGGGGGTATACAGAAGATAGCCCTATTTGGTAAAAGACCAAGTCCATATTATGGCCAGAACAGCTCAAGTAAACAAAGAGAAACGACAGTCCATCATTACTTTAAGACATGTAGGTCAATACGGAAAATTAAGAACTTTGAAAGTTTCTTCAAGTGCAGTCGCAAAAACCATCAAGTGCTATGATGAAACTGGCTCTCATGAGGACCGCCACAGGAATGGAAGACCCAGAGTTACCTCTGCTGCAGAGGATACGTTCATTAGAGTTACCAGCCTCAGAAATTGCAGCCCAAATAAATGCATCTCAACATCAACTGTTCAGAGGGGACTGTGTGAATCAGGCCTTCATGGTCGAATTGCTGCAAAGAAACCACTACATCACTAAGAAGAAGAGACCTGCTTGGGCCAAGAAACACGAGCAATGGACATTAGACCAGTGGAAATTTGTCCTTTGGTCTGGAGTCCAAATTAGAGATTTTTGGTTCCAACCGCCATGTCTTTGTGAGATGTGGTGTGGGGGAATGGATGATCTCTGCATGTGTAGTTCCCACCGTAAAGCATGGAGGAGGAGGTGTTATGGTGTAGGGGTGTTTTGCTGGTGACACTGTCTGTGATTTATTTAGAATTCAAGGCACACTCAACCAGCATGGCTACCACAGCATTCTGCATTGATATGCCTTCCCATCTGGTTTGGGCTTAGTGGATCTATCATTTGTTTTTCAACAGGACAATGACCCAACACACCTCCAGGCTGTGTAAGGGCTATTTGACCAAGAAGGAGAGTGATTGAGTGCTGCATCAGATGACCTGGCCTCCACAATCCCCCGACCTCAACCCAATTGAGATGGTTTGGGATGAGTCGGACGGCAGAGTGAAGGAAAAGCAGCCAACAAGTGCTCAGCATATGTGGGAACTCCTTCAAGACTGTTGGAAAACTATTCCAGGTGAAGCTGGTTGAGAGAATGCCAAGAGTGTGCAAAGCTGTCATCAAGGCAAAGGGTGGCAATTTGAAGAATCTCAAATATAAAATATATTTTGATTTGTTTAACACTTTTCTGGTTACTACATGATTCCATATGTGTTATTTCATAGTTTTGATGTCTTCACTATTATTCTACAATGTAGAAAATAGCAAAAATAAAGAAAATCCCTTGAATGAGTAGGTGTGTCCAAACTTTTGACTGGTACTGTATATGTTGTGGGTAATGTAACATGTTTGGAAAAACTGTGTTCGCAATGGTATATAGTCAATCACATACATAAAACACTTGAAAATACAAAAATAAACTTTATAAAAGTAATCTCAAACTAAAGCAATATTCACCACATATCAGCAGCTTGGACATACAGTAGTGTAGTGTTATTATCAAATTCTTGACGTATTATAGCTAACTTGGCATTGTGACTTTCAATGTACTGTAGATAACAACTGATACACACTGTATAGAAACATATAGGTAAATGTGTTCTTAGCAGCAAAAAGGATGCACACATCTAACGATCATCTCTAACGATCATCTCTAACTACAGTAGCATCTCTTACTACCTCAGCAGGCTCAGGTAGGACGTAGTGAAACTTGTTTATTAATACATGTTTTAGGGTTGTCCACAGAAAGATGATTGTCTAATGGGTCCAAAAACCCAAAGTACTTCTGTATTTGTGGCTTGTTTATAACGTATCATCACAGTATTGATATAGATACAGTATGTGGTTCAACACCACTTCACATTTACAATTAGTGAAAACTGAATGAGCCTAAGCTAAGTCAAGCCCAAAGACACTTAAGCAAATAATCTACTGTTGAGTTCCATCAAACAGCTAGAACTCAAGATAGGAGAATAACAGTCTATTTTAGAGTGAGTAACAGTCAGTTGAAGTCTATTGAAATATGATAATACACATATGGCAACATGATATTTACAACCTCTACTGTCAGAGGAGAGGAGAGTGCCACATACACTCTTAGAAAAAAAGCTGCTATCTAGAACCAAAAAGGGTTGTTCAGCTGTCCCCATAGGAGAACCCTTTGAATAACTCATTTTGGTTAAAGGTAGAACCCTTTTTGGTTCCATGTAGAACCCTTTCCCCAGAGGGAACATGGAACCCAAAAGAGTTCTACCTCGAACCCAAAAGGGTTCTACCTGGAACCAAAAAGGGTTCTCCTATGGGGACAGCCACAGAACCCTTTTGGAACCCTTTTTTCTAAGAGTGTACACCTTTCAGACAAAGCTGCACACGGACGCCATTACAGTCATAGGGATCCCATAGAAAATATTTTGAATACATTAACAGTTCTTGTCATTTTCTATTGAGCATTGTCAAAAGTTTTTTGTTTGCTTAATAATATCAATGGCTTTAAGAATCATGTTAACCTCTAAGGGTTGTTACACCCCAGGTCATGAACACATACAAAGAAAGGAGTGTATTAGTATGTGCCATTATCAGAACCCTAGCCTAACTCAAAGGCATAGAGATAGAATCGTGATAATCACTCTAAACAATAATTTTGTACATACCTTTTGTGATCAATGTTTCTTTATCATTGGTTTGATTTGGGAAAGGGCCCATATCATAGCTGCCCATTCCAGCTATAGTAATGATCACAGTAGAGGTAGTGATGCCAAGTAATACAGCCAGTGTTTGACAATTGTGTGACTCTTTAAGATACATCACGAAGAACCCCACAATCATTGTTATTATTTGAGTAGATATATCAAGTCAATTATTTACAAAGCAAATTCAGTCATTACATTAATTTAACCTTTCTCTAATTTGAGGAACTCAAACTGCAGACTTAGAGCACATCCAAAGCTGGTTGGCACATAACATCCCTACAATGTTATAGCAGCATTGCCTAGAAGCTGCAACATCCACAGCAAAAACAGTTAACTCTGTGAACATCAGGTGATTCAACCATTGTGTGTGGTGTCAAGTGTGATAACACCATTCGTTCACCCTACTGTGACCCTAGACTCACTGAGGAAATATACAGCAATCAAAACCTTCATGCTGTGAGCTATACAACCTTACTCCATAGCAACCATGAAGGTGATTAGACAGAAACTGATAGCAGACCCCAGCGTATGTTTCAGTCAGTCTTGTGTTCCCCGTTCTTGGCCCACCCTCTGCTCATGGCCGCCACTACGATGGAGTACATGTTGAGCCAGGCCTGACGCAGTGGGGCAGTGTACCCCTGACCCAGACTACACTGCAACATGTAGAGAAGGGACTCCCCCACCACCTGCAACATACACACGCACGCAGATATTATGAATATTGGCCTACATTTATAAATTGTTGCAAGTTTTGTTTCTTAAAAGTACACAGTAAAAAAATATGTTGATTTCAATGTACAGTTGTAAGGCAAACAGCTTCAATAGGATTGTGAGTTTGCTCAACAAAATGTTCACACACAAACTTTTTGTTGTGAGTTTGCTCAACAACATTTTTGTTGAGCAAACTCACAATCTTATTGCAGCTGGTTGTCTTACAATCAGGGTTGGGGTTAATTCCACTAATTCAATTCTAATTCAATTTCCTCTCCCTGTATATTCCATTTAATTCAATTCTAATTCCAGGTCAGTCTTTGAATTCAGAGATAACTCAATTCTTCTCAATTCTAATGTTAGGTAAATTCCAATAATTAAATTCCCAATTCAATATGATCCCCAACATTTCCACAAAGTCCAATTTGAATTAAATTCTCTCAGACTTTCAGGCTGATCAGGTCACTGTCCAGACAGCCTGGTTATACTTGAAATATAGAGATAGAACTTGAAATGATTTAAAACAAATCCTGTAGTAAATGTTTTATACAAAGTGCAATAATTCCAATAACTGGGAAATGTACAAATATTGAATTCCAATTCATTTCCAAAGATTAAATGTTTTTACAATTCCAATTCCAATTCAAACAGTCCAAACAGTCTAATTCCAATTCAATTCCAATTCCATAACTTGAAGATTGTTGAAATTTGAATTGAATTCAACATGAATTCTCCACTTCATGAGTTAATTCAAGAATTTTATTGGAATTTCAAATGAAACTGGAATTGACCCCAACTTACAATTGTACGTTAAATCAACATTTATTTTTTTACAGTGTAGTGTAGTAGTATAGTGTACAGTACACACAGTATGACAGCAGTGTATTACAGTGAGTGATCAGAGTGACAGTAGTCTTACAACGAAGGACTGGGTGTTAACCCCGACTGCCTGGTGCTTCTTCCCCAGGTTGAGCAGAAAATCCTCCAAGGTATGGAGGTCATCCAAGTGACTGACTGCTGCATCGATCACCAGCATTACCTGGACACATACGCACACATACACACACAATCATGTACGCACAAACACACACATACACACACATACACAAAGAAATGTGCACATTCACCAACATGCAGCAAGAGGTTATTGCCGTGGATTTGTTTCCAAGAATCAGCCATTTAGATGTCAGTTTTAATGGTGATGGGCTACACAGGATTACCTTTGTGACATGGTCCAGGAACTCAGGGCTGGAGAGGCAGTCTTGTGTGGGGCTACAGTTTGTGTTGTAGTGGAAGAGGTTGAGGAGTGCAGGCTCTAGTTCAAACAGTCTGCACAGACATAAAACACAACTCATTACTATAGGTGCCGATAGATACATGTAGTCATAAGTCACTCGAATGCCACAATAGGTACGATTTTAATGTCTGGTTAAAGAAAATAGAACAGTCAACAACAGTTCTTCTCTAGCGTCTGTTTTAGCAGCAGCTGTTTCAAAATAAAGAGTATTGCAGCCTGTCGCCAAGCAACAAGTCAAGCCTCCAGTCCCGGTATAGGGAGTGTGTGATGCAGTATCTATGTTGGTTAAGTGTATTTTTCTCTCTAAGTACACAAGTACTGTTTACTATGGCAACTACATTATTTACAGTATCTTTGCACTATACTGGCATTTTTGCATTGTATATAACTGCAAATGTAGTCAATGGTTAGGTTTCAGTAAACTTTCTTACAAAAAAATGCTGCAGATATCAACAAACACTCTGTTTTGGTCCACAAACAGTAAAGGCTGATATACTAATAACCATGAAATCTTCATAGAGGAACACATGCATAGTATAGTTATCAGTGTTTCCCTAGGATTTTTTTCAGCAGAGGTAGCAGAGTTGAATATAGGGGAAACACTGGTTATAAAGTATAGTGTTGCATATCTGAATAGATAATACAGTATGACAAGCAATATTACAACTTCTCCTAACTCCTCAAATAAAACGGTTTAACTCATAACTGTACCTGGAGAACATGATGACTCCGTGTGGAACTTTGTTCTTGCCAAGACTCTCCCAGCTGCCTCGGATCAGCTCCTTGTCTTTCTCCGTCAGCTTCTCCATGCCCAGGGTCGGACTAGTTCTCGTTGTAGGATTACGCCAATCTCTTTGCAGGATCAGAGGAAAAGTCTCTGGTCTGGACAACCCATTACACTGTTGTAGACTCCGCTTGGGAAACCTTTGACGACCCACCTGGAAACTAAGTGTAAGTGCAAGAGCTAAGACATAACATAGTAAAACCAAAACAATAGAAAGAGGAATTCATGATAGTTGTACATGTGCAAAACTAGATCCCAGCATACCTTAGTTGTGAGACTCTTCTCTTTTCACACGATCCCTGTCTGTACCAGGCTGTGGAGTCTGTGTGTGTTTGTGAGTCTGGAGAACTGCCTTGGCTGGCACTCTTGGCAGTTACTTGCTCTCCTGCTCACAGTGCATTCAGAGAGAGACAAGTCATCTGCCGTGCTTATCTGTCACACTGACTGCTGTCTCTCTCTCTCTCCCTCACTCTCTCTCTCTCCCGCTATGCTTTCTCTCCAGCGCTGTGGATCTGCTCACGCCACTGAAGAAGGAAAGGAGGGATCTCTCTCTTTCGCTCCTTTGAGGATGTGACGAGCTACAGCTCCTCCTACAGGTGAACCAAGGGCTGTCAAAAACATCAACCTCCCCCCAAATACACTGAACAAAAATATAAACGCAACATATAAAGTGTTGGTCGCATGTTTCATGAGCTGAAATAAAATATCCCAAAAATGTTCCATACGCACAAAAAGCTTATTTCTCTCAAGTTTTGTGCACAAATTTGTTTATATCCCTGTTAGTGAGCGTTTCTCCTTTGCCAAGATAATCCATCCACCTGATAGGTGTGGCATATCAAGAAGCTGATTAAACAGCATGATCATTACACAGGTGCACCTTGTGCTGGGGACAGTAAAAGGCCACTCTAAAATGTGCAGTTTTGTCACACAACACAATGCCACAGATGTCTCAAGTTTTGAGGGAGTGTGCAATTGGCATGCTGACTGCAGGATCACGTGTATGGCGTTGTGTGGGCGAGCAGTTTGCTGATGTCAACGTTGTGAACAGAGTGCCCCATGGTGGCGGTGGGGTTATGGTATGGGCAGGCATAAGCTACGGACAATGAAAACAATTGCATTTTATCGATGGCAATTTGAATACACAGCGATACCGTGACGAGATCCTGAGGCCCACCTCATGTTTCAGCATGATAATGCACGGCCTCATGTCTCAAGGATCTGTACACAATTCCTGGAAGCTGAAAATGTCCAGGTTCTTCTATGGCTTGCATACTTACCAGACATGTCACCCATTGAGCATGTTTGGGATGCTCTAGATCAACCTGTACGACAGTGTGTTCCAGTTCCCGCCAATATCCAGCAACTTCGCAAAGCCATTGAAGAGGAGTGGGACAACATTCCACAGGCCACAATCAACAGCCAGATCAACTCTATGCGAAGGAGATGTCGCGCTGCATTAGGCAAATTGTGGTCACACCAGATACTCACTAGATTTCTTATCCACGGCCCTACCTTTTTTATAAGGTATCTGTGACCAACAGATTCATATCTGTATACCCAGTCATGTGAAATCCATAGATTAAGGCCTAATTTCTTTCTTTCAATTGACTGATTTCCTTATATGAATTGTAACTCTGTAATATCTGTGAAATTGTTGCATGTTGCATTTATATTTTTGTTCAGTATAAATAAACCCATACACAGAGCACCTTGACTTGCACTGTCACCTAATATAAGGTCAGAGGTCAATGAACTAAAGGGAGATAAATAATCATATACATATTCAGACCCTTTGGGGCCCCAAATTTACCTTTTGGAGTTGCTCTTTAACCTTGCTATGAACCTTTCTACCGTCAGATTGTTTTATGCCCAAAAACTACATTGAATGAAACTGTGGAGTGCTTCAACCACAGACACTTGATTTGGAGAACAAAGCACTTTCATAATGAAATGTGTGGGAATTTTAATATTGTAGCTGAAGTAATAACAGACCTGAGGGCTCCACTTTTGTAAAATGGTACATGGTAATTGTTTAACTGCTTGGAGAGGTGTCTTCTCAGACACTTAGATGACTAAGTCTGGTGGCCAAATTTACAGCATGTCATTACCCCACATAAGAGATGGGTTTTTTCTCAACAATGTTATTGCCTGCTCTTTGTAAATGCTTGCTCACATTTTTCATTACATAGGTTTTTCCCATACATTTAAAGTAAGGATGCCATTGAACAGCATTTCCCTACTATTCTCTGGGTCAGAGAGGTGATAGTGTTGTATTCCTTATGATCGTATGCTGTTATCCATGGCATTCTTTGTGTGTATAGTAACTGCTGTGTGGAATGCCATAGATGGTGCACAGCAGTCTCCTGCTGGACCACTGGAGGGTGTAAGCAGGGGAAACATGGTTTCCATGACAACCTCACTGGAGCCCTTGAACCTCTGACATGTGATGTTTGAGCTCTCATGGAGGTGACTGCATCTATCATTCAAGAGTCTCCTACCGATGTGAACCCCACAGCTGGTTTGATTAATCAGCTTTTATTGTTGGTCCACTTTAGAGTGAGCCCTGTTAGGGAAAAGACCATAAACTGAACACATCCAAACATTTTGAGGTGAGACTTAAACACATCATGTTTCTCTGATGGTACCCCTTAAATGACCATCTGAGCTGGTCTCCATGGAGACAGCAAGGTATGGCTCTGGAATGGTGTTCTGCAGCCAGCTAGAGTGTGCAGGGATCCGCTATAATAATGGCTGAATGGTTTCTTTGAGTGTGTTTCAGCAGCCAACTCCAAAATGATATCCAGTTATGTACGGTGAGGGAAAAAAGTATTTGATCCCCTGCTTATTTTGTACGTTTGCCCACTGACAAAGAAATGATCAGTCTATAATTTTTAATGGTAGGTTTATTTGAACAGTGAGAGACAGAATAACAACAATAAAATCCAGAAAAACGCATGTCGAAAATGTTATAAATTGATTAGCATTTTAATGAGGGAAATAAGTATTTGACCCGCTTTCAATCAGAAAGATTTCTGGCTCCCAGGTGTCTTTTATACAGGTAACGAGCTGAGATTAGGAGCACACTCTTAAAGGGAGTGCTCCTAATCTCAGTTTGTTACCTGTATAAAAGACACCTGTCCACAGAAGCAATCAATCAATCCGATTCCAAACTCTCCACCATGACCAAGACCAAAGAGCACTCCAAGGATATCAGGGACAAGATTGTAGACCTACAAGGCTGGAATGGGCTACAAGACCATCGCCAAGCAGCTTGGTGAGAAGGTGACAACAGTTGGTGTGATTATTCGCAAATGGAAGAAACACAAAATAACTGTCAATCTCCCTCGGCCTGGGGCTCCATGCTCTCACCTCGTGGAGTTGCAATGATCATTAGAACGGTGAGGAATCAGCCCAGAACTACACGGGAGGATCTTGTCAATGATCTCAAGGCAGCTGGGACCATAGTCACCAAGAAAACAATTGGTAGCACACTACGCCGTGAAGGACTGAAATCCTGCAGCGCCCGCAAGGTCCCCCTGCTCAAGAAAGCACATATACAGGCCCGTCTGAAGTTTGCCAATGAACATCTGAATGATTCAGAGGAGAACTGGGTGAAAGTGTTGTGGTCAGATGAGACCAAAATGGAGCTTTTTGGCATCAACTCAACTTGCCGTGTTTGGAGGAGGAGGAATGCTGCCTATGACCCCAAGAACACCATCCCCACCGTCAAACATGGAGGTGGAAACATTATGCTTTGGGGGTGTTTTTCTGCTAAGGGGACAGGACAACTTCACTGCATCAAAGGGACGATGGACAGGGCCATGTACCATCAAATCTTGGATGAGAACCTCCATCCCTCAGCCAGGGCATTGAAAATGGGTCATGGATGGGTATTCCAGCATGACAATGACCCAAAACACACGGCCAAGGCAACAAAGGAGTGGCTCAAGAAGAAGCACATTAAGGTCCTGGAGTGGCCTAGCCAGTCTCCAGACCTTAATCCCATAGAAAATCTGTGGAGGGAGCTGAAGGTTTGAGTTGCCAAACGTCAGGCTCGAAACCTTAATGACTTGGAGAAGATCTGCAAAGAGGAGTGGGACAAAATCCCTCCTGAGATGTGTGCAAACCTGGTGGCCAACTACAAGAAACGTCTGACCTCTGTGATTGCCAACAAGGGTTTTGCCACCAAGTACTAAGTCATGTTTTGCAGAGGGGTCAAATACTTATTTCCCTCATTTATATGCAAATCATTTTATAACATTTTTGACATGCGTCTCTCACTGTTCAAATAAACCTACCATTAAAATTATAGACTGCTCATGTCTTTGTCAGTGGGCAAACCTACAAAATCAGCAGGGGATCAAATACTTTTTTCCCTCACTGTACATATTCAGATGTTTCCATCTGGTTAGCAAAATCCCATTCATTCTTGGCAGTAAGCTGCTTCAGCTCACAGTGGAGGCCAGTATAAAACCCCATTTGATGTGGGACTGGGCAGAGAGCAGTGCACTGACATGCCCTTTGTGATGGAAGATGAATGGCTAGGCCTATTTACTTAACTGGCACTGTATTTTCTGAAATAGCCAGATACTTTAACCAAAGCATCCGAGAAATTACAATTTCAGATGATTCCTGTCCTTATAGGACCTGTCCATTGACAAAATATTTATGGGCTTGCTCAAACAGTTTGACGAATGCAACTAGACTGCATGACAGATTTAATATGTACTACTGTACTGCAATATCCCTTAGACCACTGTCAGCCCTTTGATTCTCAGTGAGGGATATACTAACTAAACCAGGACCTTTCAGAATCTGTAGCATTGTAGGCCTATTTTTTGTTTTTAAAACACTTTTTTTCTGGTTACCAAGTAGTTCTCCTCTATAATGCCACGCTAAATTAATTTCATAAAACCAAATAAGCCTTTGATATTCAGTTTTAATAAGGTTTAAATATTATGCTGCCAAATGTTAATATTCCATAATCCCCTACCATTGTAAAATGTCAACATATAAAATTCTAAATTACATATAAACATATACAGTTCTATAAACCTTTATTCATTTTCTCACATTTGCTCCATTTAATATACATTTAAAAGCCAGAGGCCAGATGTCCCCATTTTAGAAATATCATAATTGATAACAAAACATGTCAGACAGTCAAAGACTGGGTCAACATAGTTAAACTAGACTACAATTATTTTACAACATAGTGCTCTTTGAAGCAGAATAGCTATTTGGAGTTCCATTACATGCCGGGTCTACCTTTTTGATCAATGCATTTATTCCACTCTGGTTTTCACGCTCTCTTCCTCTACCTCTTCAATTTTCTCCCCGACGTCTACGTTTCCATCCCTAAATCAGACGTCTGTTAGAAAATGTCTATATTGTAATTGCATCAAAGTTTTGCTTGACTCCAGTATTTGCCTTCTCTTCACTAAAGACTTTACGACAGAGTCTCAAAGTATTATGTAATGCAACATTGTATATATGACTATAACACATGGCGTCCTTGGATTACCAGCTGTAGTGGTATTCCTATTGGCATTACATATTGTATGAATAAAACTAATTGTTAGTTGGTAGACACTGCGACACACACTTGTTGTCATTGTAGGTACCTTTTCTCCATGTCACTCTCAACACTTTGGTCATCAACATCGTCATTGTCATCCAATATGAAGACTGGTGCCGTTCCAAACTCTTCTCCCTTTGTTTTGACAAACTGCTCATTCAAACCAGCTTCCCTCAGCTTGTCTCTGTATATACGCTCTGCGTCAGCCTTGGCGTTTTTCTAGAGCAATTCCATCAAAGGCCAGGGAATAGAGAAGGTGCACAATAGTAAATAATACAACAGTTAACAGTTTAAAAGCTCTTCTCAAGTGTTTGCAATTCCAGAAAATGAGTTTCCAGGTCAATGCAAGCCCATAGTTTACCTGTGACACCTGTTCAAACAGGTAAGGACGGACAGTGACTCTGGCCTTCATATCCTGTAGCTCCTTCTTATACTCTCTAGTCCTTTGTTGGTCAGCCTCCCTACATGTACAGAGCCACATAAACATTAAGTAAATAAATACAGAGCAACAACTCTTTAATCAGTCTGTTCTTTCCTGTTTTCATCTGAGGAATTTCCCAGTACTCACCGGTGCTGTTTCAGCTTCTCATGGTACACCTCTTTCAGGCTGCTATGAGGATCCATGACCTTGGCGCGGACAGCCACTGTCTTCTTCATGGCCTGAGACCTCATCCTATGTCTCCGCATCCACTCTGCACTCTCCTTCTCCTTGCTCTCTTTCTGCTCCACATACTTTCTGATGGACCATGGAGAGGACAGGACAGAGATTAGTACGAGTATTTCCTGTATCCTTACTTATTGAGACAGACACAGCTGATAATGAAGTTCACAGTTCCCTTTTACCTAATGGCCATACAGCGTTTCCTTGCTGCATCTGTGATATAGGTGGGAAGCGTATCTGTGGACAGTGATGTTAAGCCTCCAAAGGAATTGCTTCTCTTCAAAAAGGCACTGACTATGGGTTCCTTAGGACAAAAATAACACAAGGAAACAAAACGTTTCCAAAGATACAAAGAGCAATTTCATTTCAAGTTCTATTTGCAGAGTTCTACAGTAAGCTCACCTGTTCTTTTTCAGAGCTGCTTCTGCTTGGTCTTGAAGGCAGAGTTGATGTCCGCAGGTGGAAGGGCTGACACTTGGTAACATCTTTCCTCTCTGTCTTCCTCAGAGCTTCCCTCTGAAAGGCCTTGTGCAGCCTGTCAAAATCAGGGACCTGGGCGTTGGTCTTGGGCTGGAAGGTAGGCTTCTGATCCAGGAAGGCCAGGACCTCCTTCTTAGTTCGCTGGGTGGTGCGAGGCTCAGGGTTCTCAGTAAGAGTATGGTTCTCTATAGGTGCTGTGGACTTCCTCAAGGTCTCCTGGGCCCTCTGCTGGATGCGTACCTTCCTGCGCAACTCCTCCTCTACAGAGCATACAGAATTCAGTGAAAAAATTATAACATATTGAGAGGATTATAATACTTTTATTATACCATTTCCTGTGCCTAAGCAAGATCTCTGGAGATATTTTATTTAGGCAACACACCTTTTAAATGCTCAGAGACTGCATGGTCTTTGATTGCTTTAGGTATTGGTTTCCTGACATTGGTGGCCTTGGCTTTTTGAGACTGTGCCACCGTGCTTATCATTTGCATCAGCTTCTCTCTCTTCTTCTCATCTCTCTCCAGGAAGCTGAAGGGCTTCTGCATGGAGAGCAGGAAGTCCCTCCTCTGTTCACGGCCTTCCTTCCTCTCTTTCTGTCGCACCTGCGTCATCTCATCATAGAGGGGCAAAAACAAATGGCCAGGCACAGGAACAGCACGGAACTTCCTCTGACACTCCGCCTCCTCTTTCTCCTCTTTGCTTAGTTGGAGCGGCTCTGTTTCTGTTGGTCCTCGGTGCTGAAGCTGCTGTGAACCAGTTGTGCCAGAAGCCAGGGCTGCAGAGGATGTGACTGACCTCCCTGACTGTCTGAGCTGTTGGGATTTCCTAGAGGTAGACCTCCTACCTGAGGTCAGTTCAGACATGGAACTGGATTTCCTCGGTCCCCTACATTTGAGATTGTTTTATGTAACATAGAACAATAGGATATTTGAGACGTACAAAAAATATATATTGTGATAACTTATTTGCATCATTGGGTGACATGACATACCTGGCCTGAGAGCTGAAGAACTCGTCCAGTTGTCTGTCAGCACTAGACCTCCTGTCAAAGCCTGAAGACAGCATAGAGTTCTGCTGGATCCTTTTCTCAAGGCCCTCTCTCTGTCTCCTCTCTGTCTCCTGCAGCTGCTGCTTATGGGCCTCCTTCATCTCCTGCAGCTGGTGCTGGAGCAGCAGCTCTGAACTCAGGCCATCCTCCAGGAAAGCCTGCAGGTCAGCCATGTTCCTCTGCTCCTGCGTCCTAGCAGCAGTGTGTCCTCCTGAACCCGACATTCACCAAACATCTATGGAAAGAAGGAAAAGGGGGAAGACATTTTGAATTATATTCCAAAAACACCTCTTCCAAAAACACCTCCCACAGTGAGATAACCCCTTGTTTAGATCAGACATTTTTATTTCCACAGAACTGTCCCAAATTTTGTTAATGAATGATAATTAATATCATGAAAAGTTATGCAGAACTCCAGCAGCACATGATGTGAGCCTCCGCAAGGGTTGCCCTAGCAACCAAACTGCTTCTCCTAAACATTGCCAGAGAGGTCTTATTATATGTATATGTTAACATAGTAGGCTAGATGCTAAACTGTTTTAGGCCAGAACATTTGTATTGTTACACAATGAATAACTACAATCAATTATGAGATGAAAATAGAGGAATATTGCAAAATATAAAATATAACCTCATGCTCGTGCACTATAGAACTACAGCATACTTATTCCAGTGGAACATTGTTATCCATTTCTTCTTGCTTCACAACAATAACTGTCATATATCGACACCGTTACAATGTAATTTAACTTCGAATCGCTAGATGATGTTTCGCTACATGTTGTCAAAGCTAAGATATTTGACTCCACCCCCTGGAACCCTCTAATGTTTGATTGGCTGAAGTAAACGCTTGCGGTATCTCGATCTATACCTCAGTGATCTCGATTGGGCACTATCATGTTGACAAATTTGTAACACATTTTTTATTCAAGAAGTGCCTTGTACATTGTCTTCCTGAATAAAACGGAATTATGTTTTACTATCAATAGCACCAAAGTGCGGACAACTTGTGAAGTGAAACGAGTGCGTTTCCTTTTTCTGATTGGTTGAGCACTACAGGAAGTACTTGCCTCTTACGTATGTCAAACTATACAACATGGCTGCATTATAGAATGGACACCGCTGCGATTAGTAGGACATATTCAAGGGGAAACGTTTAGTCCAGATTGAAAACAATACAGTTGGAGTTGTTTTAAGGGTTAGACGAGTACCACGCTACGTTGTTTTAAAGATGCATAGTCTCACTAAAACAGCGCTGTCTTTGAATGGAATCGGGCGGCGGTGTGTTGCTGTGAACCGTTTTTCAGGAGCAAGAATCATTTGCAGAGGACTCACGTGCACAGCAGAACATATGGAACATGAAAATGAGCTCTATGATGTCATTATATCCGGAGGAGGGATGGTTGGGACCGCTATGGCTTGCTCTTTAGGTGAGTCGACAGTCAGACAGCCCCTCTGCCCCTAGTTGTCCCCCTCTAAAGGAGGAGGAGGAGCCATCATTCTGCTGCTGGATGTAAATTCTAAGGCTTCATCCTCACAACTAAGTTGCAGTTGTGGCTTTGCTGCTGATTTACAGCATACAGTATTTGCCTTAGTTCTGTGTTGCTAAACAAGTAAGGTATAATTAAGACAAACATGTAGAGGAACTGTAATGTATTGTTCTCATGGCACCACTAGTGATGCCAGAATGTAGACTATATCAATGCTACTCCCACCACAAAACTTCTAGTCTATGTCTGTTTATCATTTTGGACGCAGCATCAATCAATTTCATGCATCCTCGTTATTGTTGACAGGGTTGGATCCAAACTTGGAGGGGAAGAAGATTCTGCTGCTTGAGGCAGGCAACAAGAAAGTGATGGACAAGGTCCCAGATGCCTACAGTACAAGAGTCAGCTCCATCAGCCCGGGCTCTGCCACCCTCCTCAGTGGTACACAACCATATTACCAAACACTATTATCAAGTTCCCTGAGAAAGTAATCTCTCTAATGGCATTAGCATCTCTGTTTTCCATTGGCAGCCAATAGCATCAGAAAAATTTTGGAAACCTCTTTGCAAACAGATACACATGGCTGCAATAGTATGAGCTTCATAAAGTACAGTAGGAGTGAAGAGTTGTGTGTAGTTAGTTTGGTAGTTGTTGTCAATATAATTTGTCAGGGTTGGTTTATCCAGTTAAAAAAGAACAGTGCATCTAGTCCAATGACAAAAGAGCTTTTGTTTAAGTGGCCAGCTTCCTGTCTGATTAAGCCTATTTGTGGTGTGGCTCAGTATAAAATGTTGGCAGGAAGTAGGTTAGGGATCAGACCCAGCCTGTCTAGTCACACATGCTTAGCAGGGATCCTATCTGGCCTCTAGACTACATCGGTCATTGATGGGATCCTCTCAACTATTATTCATGTCTCCTTGGGTTTTACACCCTGATGATGTACTGCATGTCAATAAAGAAGTGATTCAGATACCCCCCCCCCCCCAAAAAAAATAATAATAATAATATAAATAAATTAAAATAAAATGATAAAAATATAAAAAAGATAAAAAATAAAAAAAATGTGAAAGAATTTTTTTTTGTAAAGTGGTTATCCCACTGGCTATAGGGTGAATGCACCAATTTGTAAGTCGCTCTGGATAAGAGCGTCTGCTAAATGACGTAAACGTCAAGCCCAATTAAGTTGACTTGGATGTATGTAGGGCGGCAGGTAGCTTAGTGGGTAAGAGCGTTGTGCCAGTAACCGAAAGGTTGCTGGTTCTAATCCCCGAGCCGACTAGGTGAAAAATCTGTCGATGTGCCCTTAAGCAAGGCACTTAACCCTAAATGCTCCTGTAAGTCGCTCTGGATAAGAGCGTCTGCTAAATGACTAAAATGTAAATGTAATGTATACTGAACAAAAATATAAACGCAACATGCAACAATTTCCAAGATTCTACTGAGTTACAGTTCATATAAGGAAATCAGTCAATTGAAATAAATTCATTAGGCCCTAATCTATGGATTTCACATGACTGGGAATAGTATGTGGACACCTGCTCGTCAAACATCTCATTCTAAAATCATGGACATTAATATTGAGTTGGTCCCCCCTTTGCTGCTATAACATCCTCCACTTTTCTGGGAAGGCTTTCCACTAGATGTTGGAACATTTCTGTGGGGACTTGCTTCCATTCAGCCACGAGCATTAGTGAGGTCGGGCGCTGATGTTATGCGATTAGGCCTGGCTCGCAGTTGGCGTTCCAATTCATCCCAAAGGTGTTCAATGGGGTTGAGGTCAGGGCTCTTTGCAGGCCAGTCGAGTTCTTCCACACCGATCTCAACAAACCATTTCTGTATGGACCTTGCTTTGTGTACAGGGGCATTGTCATGCTGAAACAGGAAAGGGCCTTCCACCAAGTTGGAAGCACAGCATCGTCTAGAATGTCATTGTATGCTGTAGCGTTAAGATTTCCCTTCACTGGATCTAAGGGGCCTAGCCCAAACCATGAAAAACAGCCCCAGACCATTATTCCTCCTCCACCAAACTTTACAGTTGGCATTATGCATTGGGGCAGGTAGCGTTCTCCTGGCATCCGCCAAACCCAGATTTGTCAGTCGGACTGCCAGATGGTGAAGCGTGATTCATCACTCCAGAGAACGCGTTTCCACTGCTCCAGAGTCCAATGGCGGCGAGCTTTACACCACTCCAGCCGACGCTTGGCATAGGCTCGTGTGCGGCTGCTCGGCCATGGAAACCCATTTCATGAAGCTCCCGATGAACAGTTATTGTGCTGACGTTGATTCCAGAGGCAGTTTGGAACTAGGTAGTGAGTGTTGCAACCGAGGACAAACTATTTTTTACATGCTACATGCTTCAGCACTCGATGGTCCCGTTCTGTGGGCTTGTGTGGCCTACCACTTCTCGGCTGAGCCATTGTTGCTCCTAGACGTTTCCACTTCACAATAACAGCACTTACAGTTGACCGGGGCAGCTCTAGCAGGGCAGAAATTTGACAAATTGACTTTTTGGAAAGGTGGCATCCTATGACAGTGCCACGTTGAATGTCACGGAGCTCTTCAGTAAGGCCATTCTACTACCTATGTTTGTCTATGGATATTGCGTGGCTGTGTGCTCGATCTTATACACCTGTCAGCAATGGGTGTGGCTGAAATAGCCGAATCCACTCATTTGAAGGGGTGTCCACATACTTTTGGCAATGTCGTGTATATGCATTTGTTGGTCAAAGATACCTTTTAAAAAAAAAAGTAGGGGCATGGATCAGAAAACCAGTCAGTATCTGGTGTGACCACCATTTGCTTCATGCAGTGCGACACATCTCCTTTGCATAGAGTTGATTAGGCTGTTGATTGTGGAATGTTGTCCCACTCCTCTTCAATGGCTGTGCGAAGTTGATGGATATTGGCGGGAACTAGAACACACTTGTATACGCCGATCCAGAGCATCCCAAACAATGGGTGACATGTCTGGTGAGTATGCAGGCCATGGATGAACCTGGACATTTTCAGCTTCCAGGAATTGTGTACAGATATTTGTAACATGGGGCCGTGCGTTATCATGCTGAAACATGAGGTGATGGCGGCGGATGAATGGCACGACAATGGGCCTCAGGATCTCGTCACGGTATCTCTGTGCATTCAAATTGCCATCAATAAAATGCAATTGTGTTCGTTGCCCGTAGCTTATGCCTGCCCCCATACCATAATCCCACCGCCACCATGGGGCACTCTCTTCACAACATTGACATCAGCAAACTGCTCGCCTATTGCCATACACGTGCCATACACGTGGTCTGCGGTTGTGAGGCCGGTTGGATGTACTGCCAAATTTTCTAAAACGACGTTGGAGGCGGCTTATGGTAGAGAAATGAACATTACATTCTCTGGCAACAGCACTGGTGGACACTCCTGCAGTCAGCATGCCAATCGTAAGCTTCCTCAAAACTTGAGACGTCTGTGGTATTGTGTTGAGTGACAAAACTGCACATTTTAGTGGCCTTTTATTGTCCCCAGCACAAGATGCACCTGTGTGATCATGCTGTTAAATCAGCTTCTTGATATGCCACACCTGTCAGGTGGATGGATTATCTTGGCAAAGGAGAAATACTCACTAACAGGGATGTAAACCAATTTGTGCACAACATTTGAGAGAAATAAGCTTTTTGTGCGTATGGAACATTTCTGGGATCTTTTATTTAAGCTGATGAAACATGGGACCAACACTTTACATGATGCGTTTATATTTTTGTTCACCCACTTGAGTTCTTGTCTCATTTAATCAAATTCCTCTAACAAGTCATTATGGGGCTTGTATGCCTCATACATAACATTCCTAGATTTTATAGATCTTGTATTCTATTAAAATGTTGTGTGTACCTTTCAGGTGTTGGAGCATGGGATCACATTATGAACATGAGATGTAAGCCCTATCAGAAGATGCAGGTCAGTTCTTGGAAACGCCACTCTACCACAAGCCCTAAAGGTCTTTTTTAATTGAGAAGCCCATTTAGGTCGTTAGAGTTATACTGCTATATACTTACTCTCATTCTCCATGCATCAGTAACTTGTTTGGCTATAACATTTTAGGAAAATTGTATATCCACTGACATTTAACCTCCACTCAATCATGTGCTGAATGTGCTTTACAATGCCATTTCCCTTGGGCATGTAATTGTTCACAACGAAAAAGCAAACCCAATGGCGGTTTAAAACACGCATTTTGTTCATTCCTCTGCCCAATTTATACATCCTCAGAGGCCAGGCAAATGCCAGGATGCCGCAAACCCCAAAGAACAGGAGGTCAATTTAAAATGACAATCAAAACTCCCTGGTTTAGTGAAATGTTAGTTCTTTCCTCTGGCCACAGTGGCAGAGTGTTTATTTATTTAGGATCATATTTAATAGGAAGAATACATCTATTTGGCATCTTCAACTAGGCGTTCATCGTCTGTGTCTACTAATTATAAAGATTAATGTGACAAGCAGAAGATGGAAGATGACAGGATGTGTGGATGTCAGCAGCAAAGTGACCCTGTTTTACAGCTGTGGGCACAGGTTGAGTCCCCTCTGTAAGATGTGGTCAGTTTCTACCAAAGACCAAACCACAGGGTTTCACTCATGGCCAAGGATGTCATCATAAAATACCATATGGGGATTATGGTGATATACCTCTCCCATAATACCTTAACTGCTCTGCTCCTTTTATCTGCTTGTTTGTTTGCTGATGCATATTACAAGGATAGAGGAGCAGTGCGTTGAGGTTAACCAAAAATAATCTTCATTCACTATCCTAAAAAGTTAACTACTGCCTTAAGAAGGAAAAACAACCTGAATATGAGTCATTAGTAGGCCATTTCCAATGGTCTGTCTCCTGTCTGGGTGTTAGGATGAAAAGATAAGCAGGTTTTAAAGCTCCCATTTGGGGTTTTCTCCTAGCAAAGAGGACAATAAGTACATAGCAACACATTCCTTATCAACAGAAGTATATTTTTCTCCAACATAACTCCTTGCAATTTGCGGTTTGGTTTCATTAAATCTTTCAAGCAGCCAACCACTTGTCACAAGTTGCAAACCCACCACCATTAGTGGTTTTCTGTAGTGTAAAACCCACTACTTTATGGCATGTTGGGAAAAAAGTAGTTTAGCTGTGTTACTTCTGAATGATAAGGTCTGTGGCCTTGGTAACAAGCCATCATAGTCCTACATAAGCATAACCACTTTGCTTTGTCACATGAAAAGTATTTTCATTTACCGCCTCAGAAATTATATGTGCCTCAATTATGTGTTTTATTCTAACACTGACTCTACTTTTTTGGGATACATGAACAAATATTTACCCGCTCAGTAATGTTAACAAATGTGTTCTGTATTTATTATTTGTTGGGCCAAATATATTACCATAAATCCACATCACAAATGGCATTTAATTGTGCTTCAGTAAGCTCCCTAAGTCAACCATAGAACCAGAAGGGTGTTGTTGACCTTCCTGGATCTTAGTTTGGTGCTTGAAGTAGTGGCTGCCAAGCTCTGGCTGCAGCTGAACAACTTTGATGTGTTCAGTTCAATTAGGCTGTGCCTCTTTGGTCGGCTAAATATAGGGAAAGGGGGTGCATTTAAGGATAGAGTTGTAGACCACAGGGATAATTGGTCTCTCATTTAGGTTTGGGATGCCTGCTCGGATGCCCTGATTACATTCGATAAGGAGAACCTGCAGGACGAGATGGCATACATTGTGGAGAACGACATCATTGTGGCAGCCCTGACGAAACAGCTGGACAATCTCTCTGGTATGAAAAGCAGCACAACACACAGTCCAGTAGCATTGATGATTTTTCCATGAAACCCTCACTATGCATGAGTAGTGATGTAACTCTCCTTAGAAGACCTCTTAATTTCAGTGACATCCTGTTAATAGGAGCGGGGTCTGGAAAGTCATGTAATGTCACCACAGTTGTTTCATCCTGTCCCTGTGTTTTGTTTATTTGTATTTTTCCCAGTGTCTAATTTTAAAGACCAGTGCAGCTCTTGGACGCATCCATGTTTTTCCTGCTATTTCAATCAAGCGTCATATTTCCTATGTGCCAGTTAGAGCACTCCATAGACCGGGTGCCATGGTAAAGGCACGTGCAGTTGTCCAGTGACCTATTTCACATTGACATGTGCTCCCACACCATTAACGATGCTAAAGTGCTGACGGTTTATTGTGCTGTATTGTTGTTGAAATTAGGCCAACTTATTTGAGGTTCACAAATGAAACCTTAGCACTGCCATGTGTCAGACTGTAAAACAGCATATTTATAAACAGGTTTTTCAACATTTTGCACTAAACAGATGTGTGGTTTCAGGCAGCAGGTTTTCCTTAAAGGCGTTGGTCCTCTATTTAATTTCTTCTTGCTTTGGCCATGATGTTTCTCTGCTTCTAAGGCAGTACATGAAAAGCGTGCACTAAGCCAGCTGGTTTGGTAGTAACTCTGCTCTCCAATCACTGCATGCCAATATTTGTCGCTCGTGTTCAGGAATCAGTAGTCAATCTGCGGACAGGAGCCTCTCCAAGTGGGCAACGCCAAGCGTAATTCCGGATACTTTCATGTTCGGGATGACCGACTACCGATAATTCCAAGAAAGTGAGAGTTTTGGTGTAATCCCAGCATGCTGGCAGCAAGCGGAAAGTGTGGCATGGTCTGCTTGTAGATAAACACTATTAGTCAATGCTATGCAGCAAGCCAAGACCATTAAGAAGATTGTCAATGTGAGCTTCGGCAGCTGCTCCCTGCCAGAGAGGGAAACCAGTGGTGTTTTACACGGTGGTTTGTAGATCCTCCACTGCCTTAGTCACTTACAGCCAAACCGTACTCAATTTTTTTCCTTTTTGGAGGAAACAAGTAGCAAAGCCTTGATTAGTGTGACCAATTGTGATGAAAAATACTTACTGGCCCCTTCCTTGTTTAGTGAAAATGATTCTCTGTGGTGAACCCAGAATCCCCTTGGATCTGCTTTTGATAAAATGTTTCTCTGTGTTCTGTCTCTCAGATCAGGTGAGGGTCCAGTACAAAACCAAGGTGGTGAAATACACCTGGCCCAAGTCCCACCAGGTAGCTGACGCCATCCCCTGGGTTCAGGTCACCCTGGCCAACGGACAGACGCTTCAAACCAAACTACTGGTCAGTCCAACATCTGAGTAGTAACTCTTTTATTTTATGCCTTTGACCGTAATGCTGTAGGATGTAACCGCTGTGATTGGCCGGTTTTCAGATTGGAGCAGATGGGCCAAATTCGATGGTGAGGCGGGAGGCGGGGATACCCACGTTCAAGTGGAATTACGACCAATCAGCTGTTGTGGCTGTCCTGCATCTGTCCGAGGTGAGATTTACATCTTACAACCGGTCTATTTCACCAAGACACCTAGAGGCCATACTAATTATTATCATGTGTTTCTATAGCCAACAGAGAACAATGTTGCCTGGCAGAGATTCCTTCCTACAGGCCCCATAGCAATGTTACCAGTAAGTTTGTATCATAGGTTCAAAGTGCAGCTGAGCTCTTTGCTTTTTTTTGTTATTTCGTTTTAACTGACGTCCCCCGTCTCTCTTGTGGCTGTAGTTGTCGGACACAGAGAGTTCTCTGGTGTGGTCGACCAGCCACCGCCATGCTGAGGAGCTGCTGCAGCTGGATGAGGAGAGCTTCGTGGACGCCATCAACACTGCCTTCGTGAGTCCCGGCCTGACCCCACCAAATCAGATAATGATGAGGAACAAGTGCCTTAATACATTTCTGATACATTCATATGCGTTATGAATAGTATGTTTATGAATGGAAATGCTCTTGTTACCAACATGCTGCAAGTGCACCAATTAACCGGTTCACCAATGCCAATGGGTGCACTTGTCACTGTTTTCTGTCTACTATACATCATACATGTAGACAATACCAACGTTTTGCCGGCCTAAAGTCGCTTTCCCAAGCAGACTATTTTTACTGGTCCTGCCGATGCGGTCACCACGGTTGAGTCATGCTTGGTTTCAGGCCTGGTTTGCTAATTAAACCTGTGGTCTGCCAGTTGGTCATTACTGCATGGAATGTTTTTCAAACTAAGCTAATTCAACAGCAAGCATGACCAGCCTCTTCTTTTAATTAGCAAGGGTCCTGTAACGCTGCCAAACCATTTTGTTAGTGAGGGAAAGTACACTCACTCTGCATTTCTGATCTAGTTTGTTTCTTTGTTAACTTCTCTCTTCTCTCTACCACACCTCTGTCTATCTCTCCTGTACCTCTGTCTGTCTCTTCCTTTTCCCACTGTTTCTCCCTCTCTGTCTCTCCCTCCATGTCTCTCTCTTCCGCTCTCCCTCTGTCTCCCTCTCTTTCTGTGTCGTCTCTGTCTGCCAGTGGAGTAATGAGAACCACAGTGAGCTGGTGGAGACTGCTGGCTCTCTGTTCCGCACTGCCCTGTCAGTCCTCATGCCGTCTGCCGGCTCGGCCCGCCAGCTACCCCCCAGTGTGGCCGGGATCGGCCCAAAGAGTCGGGTCATGTTCCCCCTGGGCATGGGCCATGCGTCAGAGTACATCAGGCACCGGGTGGCCCTCATCGGGTAAGTCACCACTCACCCCTGTGGGACACTCAGTTATTGAACTTCACTTCGGTTTGCTTTGGAAAACTGTGACTCATATTTGACCTGGCATTTTGTAAATGGAAGGATTATATGCCCTAATTCTATGAAGGTATAACAGGATCATATTTAAAAAATGAGATCATTAAAAAAAAGGTTAATTCCTCTACTTAATTATTGGTATTTATGTCTATTTCAAGGGAATGCTTGCTTTGATCCTACCCTGTAGATGTGGTGACTAGATTTACAAGGCAGGGGTCTTTATTTGTCTTTGCAGGGATGCAGCACACCGCGTCCACCCTCTAGCTGGCCAGGGAGCCAACCTGGGCTTTGGGGATGTGGCCTGCCTCACTCAGCGCCTGAGCCAGGCGGCCTTTAATGGGAAGGATCTGGGTTAGTGACTACCCTAAACAGACACCAAACACAGTAGCCGTAGCCAGTGGTTTCTCAGAAGCTTTTTTCCAAAGCCCAGGCTGGGACTCTTGCTGTTGATCTTGATTATAAAAAGAACAGTCTTTCCTCCAAAGTTTATTTGATGTTTTTTTCTGTCTATTCTGCCAAGAACTGTATGTTTACAGAAATGGAAATCCGGTTATGTGAATCTTTTATTTGATTTATTCTGTTTTGAAGTCAGAATAGCTCCAATGTATCGACCTAATGCAGAAAACGCAATAACAATATACACAGGTGCAAAATATTTTCTCCATGATTTGTTAACCCCTAGTGTTTTGCTCTATCTGTGTTGTGTTGTATAGGGGCCATGCAGCACCTGTTGGAATATGAGACAGAGCGCCAGCGACACAACCTGCCCATGATGGCTGCCATCGACCTGATGAAACGACTGTACTCCACTAACGCTGCCCCCATGGTTGTCTTACGCACCTTCGGTCTGCAGGCCACCAACACACTGCCAGCCATGAAAGTTAGTATGCTCTCTCTCTTCTCTTCAACCCTTACCTGTCCCGAATGTCATGCCCCTTATCAAAGTGAACCCACAACTCCTTGATCATCACAACACTTGTGCAAGTAGAGGCCATCTCTTCTTCCATTCCCAGGGTTTGGACACCTGTCAGAAGTAAACCCCACCTTGGCTTCGCTCATGACCTCACCCGATCCCGCCCTTTTTCTGATTATATGTCTTTTTACTTCGGCTCTGTCTATAATTTCCATGGTTGTCAACCTACTACTACGGCAGCTTAGTTTAGCCCCAAATGTAGTGTTACAGAAAGTGTGTGGGTGGGGTGCTGGCCCCGAGGCTGCGTTACGGTGGTGTTGGCTTGTGTTTTCACACCCATTTTATTACAGACCGCTGATGTGAAATGGCTTTATTCCCTACTAAGTGATTCAGACCAAAGCAACCGTAACTGGTTGTAAAGGCATTTCTCTCTGGAGACCCAAAGTTATGCTTGACATTTTTCCATATTAAATGTTCAGAGTTTACAGATCTCGTATACAGAGGTTTGTAGTGCCACTTTTTACGCAGATGGGAAAGATCCTAGTCATCGTTTTTTGTCAAACTTGCTAGTGCTATACGTGGCTGTTGGATGAATGTATTTGTGGATAAGGATGGATGGATGAAAATGGATGTTTAGATTTGTGAGTTGATCTTGTTTCTTTCTTTGTCTCTCCAGGAGCAGATCATGGCGTTTGCAAGCAAGTGACACGTACGCTGGTCCTGCCGATGGAGTTTGATGGTACTCCAATGACGATATGCCATTGTGACTTTGTGAATGGAATGTAAAAGTGTAAATTAATAAAGTTATATTTTATGCTCTGTTATTACTTGAACACTGTTATTCCTGTGTGTCTTTCTTTCTCTGTGTGAAGATGATTCTGGGGGCTTCCAAGCATCCTGTATCCCAGTTTCATAAAACATTATGAACACCTGCTCTTTCCATGACATAGGTTTCATCTGGTCAGTCTATCATCCTTTATTGATGTCACTTGTTAAATTCACTTCAATCAGTGTAGATGAAGGGGAGGAGACAGGTTAAAGAAGGATTTTTAAGCTTTGAGACAAGTGAGACATGGATTGTGTATGTGTGCCATTCAGAGGGTGAATTGTCAAGACAAAATATTGAAGTGCCTTTGAACGGGATATGGTAGTAGGTGCCAGGCGCACCGGTTTGAGTGTGTCATAAACTACAACGCAGCTGGGTTTTTCACGCTCAAGTTTCCCGTGTGTATCAAGAATGGTCCACCACCCAAAGGACATCCAGCCAACTGGGCACAACTGTGAGAAGTGTTGGCGTCAACATGGGCCAGCATCCCTGTGGAACACTTTCGACACCTTGTAGAGTCCATGCCCTGATGAATTGAAGCTGTTCTGAGGGCAAAAGGGGGGGTGCAACTCAATAGTAGGAAGATGTTCTTAATGTTTTGTACACTCAGTGTATAGTGGGGAGAACAAGTATTTGATACACTGACGATTTTGCAGGTTTTCCTACTTACAAAGCATATAGAGGTCTGTAATTTGTATCATAGGTACACTTCAACTGTGAGAGACGGAATCTAAAACAAAAATCCAGAAAATCACATTGTATGATTTTTAAGTAATTAATTTGCATTTTATTGCATGACATAAGTATTTGATCACCTACCAACCATTAAGAATTCCGGCTCTCACAGACCTGTTAGTTTTTCTTTAAGAAGCCCTCCTGTTCTCCACTCATTACCTGTATTAACTGCACCTGTTTGAACTCGTTACCTGTATAAAAGACACCTGTCCACACACCCAATCAAACAGACTCCAACCTCTCCACAATGGCCAAGACCAGAGAGCTGTGTAAGGACATCAGGGATAAAATTGTAGACCTGCACAAGGCTGGGATGGGCTACAGGACAATAGGCAAGCAGCTTGGTGAGAAGGCAACAACTGTTGGCGCAATTATTAGAAAATGGAAGAAGTTCAAGATGACGGTCAATCATCCTCGGTCTGGGGCTCCATGCAAGATCTCACCTCGTGGGGCATCAATGATCATGAGGAAGGTGAGGGATCAGCCCAGAACTACACGGCAGGACCTGGTCAATGACCTGAAGAGAGCTGGGACCACAGTCTCAAAGAAAACCATTAGTAACACACTACGCCGTCATGGATTAAAATCCTGCAGTGCACGCAAGGTCCCCCTGCTCAAGCCAGCGCATGTCCAGGCCCGTCTGAAGTTTGACAATGAACATCTGGATGATCCAGAGGAGGAATGGGAGAAGGTCATGTGGTCTGATGAGACAAAAATAGAGCTTTTTGGTCTAAACTCCACTCGCCGTGTTTGGAGGAAGAAGAAGGATGAGTACAACCCCAAGAACACCATCCCAACCGTGAAGCATGGAGGTGGAAACATCATTCTTTGGGGATGCTTTTCTGCAAAGGGGACAGGACGACTGCACCGTATTGAGGGGAGGATGGATGGGGCCATGTATCGCAAGATCTTGGCCAACAACCTCCTTCCCTCAGTAAGAGCATTGAAGATGTGTCGTGGCTGGGTCTTCCAGCATGACAACGACCCGAAACACACAGCCAGGGCAACTAAGGAGTGGCTCCGTAAGAAGCATCTCAAGGTCCTGGAGTGGCCTAGCCAGTCTCCAGACCTGAACCCAATAGAACATCTTTGGAGGGAGCTGAAAGTCCGTATTGCCCAGCGACAGCCCCGAAACCTGAAGGATCTGGAGAAGGTCTGTATGGAGGAGTGGGCCAAAATCCCTGCTGCAGTGTGTGCAAACCTGGTCAAGACCTACAGGAAACGTATGATCTCTGTAATTGCAAACAAAGGTTTCTGTACCAAATATTAAGTTCTGCATTTCTGATGTATCAAATACTTATGTCATGCAATAAAATGCAAATTAATTACTTAAAAATCATACAATGTGATTTTCTGGATTTTTGTTTTAGATTCCGTCTCTCACAGTTGAAGTGTACCTATGATAAAAATTACAGACCTCTACATGCTTTGTAAGTAGGAAAACCTGGAAAATTGGCAGTGTATCAAATACTTGTTCTCCCCACTGTATATTGGGCTATTTAAAGACTGAACATGTGTTTGGGAAAACAAATACATCAAATACACTTTTAGTATTTTATTGAAACATACATGTATAATGTATACAGGCATTTTACTTGCACCAGGTTTTTATTAAATATTGATTGACATGATCTGTCATCAAACAGTTCACCTTAAAACATAGTGAACATTATGCAGCAGAAAGAAAGTTTTCATCTGCAAAGTCAAAGCAGTTACAGCCTGGTAAGTATTTTACTAATACAGGTTTAGTTAATATAATAATACTTTTAGCAAAAATGTTTATTTACAATCTGTAGAAACAATGAGAATAGAAGGGTTCAGAACTTTTGTGAAACATCACAGTACAGTTGAAAAATATATGGCAAATAGAAATCCAATATGGATGGTCTTAAGAGATAGATGGGAGGTGTTGAATGGTGCTGAAGGATGGGACTAATAACAACTAACAACTAATAACAACAGGATAACTAATGTAAAGCATACTGTGTCCATAATAAGTATATGGGTTATAGGTTGAGAGCTTTTGTGAAAGAGCACAGTTAGAACGATATGGCATATAGAAGCAAACCGGATGGACATGAAAATGATAGGAGAGGTTGAGGGTAGAGGAAGTTCAGGAGTAAAAACAAACAAAATTGAATTATTGTAAAATTGACTGTGTCCATAAAATGTATAGAGTATGTATAAGCTGTAAGAAGAGGCCTAAGCATTGTTGTTCACTAGTTTACTCCAATTAGGGAAGTGGTGGTGGGGTTGGAAAGTAATAAAGGAAAATATATATTTTTAAAGGATATGTACATATATGTATGTATGTGTATATATATATATATATATATATATATATATATATATATATATATATATATATATATTTGCGAGAGAGAAAAAAACATATGGGGAATTGGAAGTGTTGCAGACAATTACATTGATGGAAGTTACAATCTATCTGCAATATTAAAGCTGATCTACCCCCTAAAAAAAATATTTTAAAATAAATAACCCCCCCAAAAAAATACTGCTTTACTTTGTGGTTTTATATACAACAGTAGTTATTGTACATGTTTGCTACTGGACAGATAGCCAATGCAATAATAGCCGCTATGATTGCACAAAGAGCAGTTATACAGCAAAGTTCATTTTGTACAGATTGCAACAGCATTTTAAATATTTGTACAGTTCACAAGAAGAAAATTACAAACAGTATTAAGCATTATGTGTGTCTTGCGCCAAGAGCTATATCCCTACAAATGAAAGATTTATGGGTTTAAGGTCTTTGTTATACCTGACATGTTTAGACACTTTTATATTAACATGATGACAGCAACAAGCTGAAGCTACATTTTTATTTTGACAGGGTCCTGTAGTCTTGCCACGGTTGATCGAACAATTATCATTTAGTGTTCCAATGTAGACACAAATAACACAGAGTTCACCAACAGTCAGAAAGACAAGTCACTCACTCTGATTCAACACAACTGGCAATCCTACACAAGCCCACACATCTACTAAGGCAACACTTTTAAATATTAACGCCATACATACAATAGTATTCATGTATCAAATGCAAGCCATACTCAGTGAGAACACTATCGACTCCCCCTCTCTGAGCTTTACTTGCCCCCTGAGTTATTGCAAATTGGACACCTCCCTTTAACATGGATGAATATGTACAACTCTGTAGACAACATCAAAGCAACAGATCTCCGCTACAGTATCTGCAGTTAAAGTGTTATGTGCAAAGTATGAAGGGGGAAAGCTTTTGGTTAATTCATTTCAACCATCTATTGCTATAAGCCTCGTGAGGGAAAATGTCTTGTTCACCTGTCCTATAGTAGAATGTACTGGAAAGACATTTCCAGATAGAATGAGTTGCAGGCATTCCGAGCTGACTGAAGGTTGCATTCCTGCAACTCATTTTTCAAATATTCCACTGTACTTTACAGTGCACTCCATGACCACAGTAAGCACCAAAGTTCTCTAAAAACCTTACTAGTCGCATTGCTTCTAACTACTCTATACACTCAAAGGTAGCCAAGTAAGACTGCATTTCAGATCAGACAGCCCTAAGGAAGCAAAAATGTAAACGCTTGCTTTACAAAAATAAAGTCAACTCACTAATTATGGGTTAAACATACAGTAGAAATAGCTGTCCTTCCTTATAAAAACATAGTGATTTCTTTGTCAACAGTTCTTGGATTATCTGCAGGATGGCCCTCCTGTAGCTCAGTTGGTAGAGCATGGCGCTTGCAACGCCAGGGTTGTGGGTTTGATTCCCACGGGGGGCCAGTATGAAAAATTTATGTACTCACTAACTGTAAGTCGCTCTGGATAAGAGTGTCTGCTAAATGACTAAAATGTAATGGTGCTGAGAAGGAAGGAAGGGAGGGGAGGGGTAGGCTGGAGGAGCGTGGCTGTGCAGGAGGGAGGGGCTAGTCAGGGGGCGGTGGCAGAGGGGATGCCCCCAGTAACAGGCTGTGCCTGCAGGCAGGTAGGCTAGCTGCCCTTAGTGGATGTTGAGGTTGTTAAAGTGATCGAATGTGGCTCCCAAGGCCCAACTTGTCTCAACGTTGTTCACCTTCTTGGCGAGCTGTGGAGCAGAACAAAAAACATAATGTTTGTTAAGTTTTGACTTATTAACGTCTTGATGCCTGTCCCCTACCTTTGTGCCCAGTGACCAGTTCCTGTCTCACCTGCAGCATTGTATTGTCCTTGAAGCCAAAGCCCTCCTTCAACAGGCAGGTGATATATGTCATATCCATGCAGAGGAAGGGACTGATGGGACGGTACTTGGTCATTTTGTTGCACACTGAAAACAAATCAGGTAGACACTACATTAAGAACAAATCACAGAGGACAGAGAGCACCCATGGGCATATTTTGAGACATCTTGTATCATGTTCAATGTGGGGTCAAGCAGCAGTCAACCTCTAACCTGGGCACCACATAATAGAAAGCTGGTCACCCTGTTTGGTTTATTTTGTTTGTTTAGCTGACTGAGAAATGGGGTGTGAGAAGAGTCAAGTGCTGAGGGTCTGCACATGTTGGTGATTCTGGGGGTGGGTGGCAGAGCCAACAGACTTGCTGTACACTGTGTGTCTCTCTCAGGCTCAGCCCCCGGGTCAGGTTGGGTGTTGTGTGGCTGTCAGGTACGAGAGACAGAGCTCACAGCTGCCCAGGTCAACTGCCTGCCAACCTGCCAAATGCCAGACGTGTTCATCGAGACCATGTGACTGTTTTCGCAATGCAAACAGACTTTACATAACACACCAACTCGTTCCTTTTAGCTGTAAATCTAACACAGGCATTTATTGTGCCACGCGGTCTAACGGATTTACCAAGGCTATATGTTAGTCTAATGTGACAGAGCACTTTCCACATCACATCAGATTACTGTAAATGATTTGTAAATGTGTTAAGTAGCTAAATGTCAATGTGTATGTAAAATATCAACGTGTTTGTGTATGCTCTGAGAACAGTTATGAATCAGACATTTCATCTGATGGTCCTTGGTTATATTAGAAATGGCAGACGAAAGTGCCAATGTTCCAGGTTAGGTTACAGTTGTGCCAAGATGTTTGGGCACAAACAAGGTTGAGTGTTTGTGTGAGTTAGAACAGTGTGTATTTTTACAGCAAGATTTTGTGGTGAGGAACTGATATTTTGTAAGGCATGTGAGATTGTTGAGTCTAACATGCAAATAAGCACCAACATTTCTTGTTTGTACACTGTGTACTGTATCAATATAGTCCAAATGTTTCTGAGGGGGGAAAAGCCTAGGACTCACCTTCTTTGGCTCTCTTCTTGAAATCCCTAACTTCTACCATGCCACCGCGACTGCCATCTGTAAAACAACAAATGTATACTTTTCTCATCTGCTACAACAGTTGTCATTTCAGTTTTCCAAGCAAATCATAAACACTGCAGTTAAATGTATTTGAGGAGAACATAACTAAACAATTTTTTGTTTTACTTTAATCCTTTCATATTATTGTGAGGTTTTAGTGGATGCATACTAAAAGGCAGTGGTGTAAAGTACTTAAGTAAAAATACTTTAAAGTACTATTTAAGTAGTTTTTTGGGGTATCTGTACTTTACTTTACTATTTATATTTTTGACAACTTTTACTTTTACTTCACTACATTCCTAAAGGAAATTATGTAGTTTTTACTCCATACATTTTCCCTGACACCCAAAAGTACTCGTTACATTTTGAATGCTTAGCAGGACAGAAATTGTCCAATTCACGCGCTTATCAAAAGACCATCCCTGGTCATCTCTACTGCATCTGATCTGGCGGACTCACTAAACACAAATGCTTTGTTTCTGAATTATGTCTGAGTGTTGGAGTGTGCCCCTGGCTATCCGTAATTTAAAAAAACACGAACAATTGTGCCATCTGGGTTGCTTAATTAAAGGAATTTGAAATTATTTATACTAATTAATTTTGCAATTACATTTACTTTTGATACTTAAGTATATTTAAAACCAAATACTTTTATACTTTTACTCAAGTAGTATTTTACTGGGTGACTTTCACTTTTACTTCAGTCATTTCCTATTACGGTATCTTCACTTTTACTCAAGTATGAAAATTGGGTGCATTTTCCACCACTGCTAAAATATGATTTTGTATCTGTCCTGGTCTGTGTGTCTACTCACCAATGAGGCCTGACTCCACAGCTCTGTCGAAGTAGTAGGAGAAAGCATAGAAGATGCTGCTGCCCTTCACCTCGAACGGCTGGTGCACGATGCCTTTCACCACCCTCATCACCTCATAGTAACACAGCTTGTAACCTGCATAGCCTGAAGAGACACATAAATAACATCAATAGAATCATTAATATCTATCACAAACTGTACTGAATCTTCAAGGCAGGTATCATAAGATTATAGAGTTATGTCAGCTTCATGACAACATAACACTCAAGTAAATTGTTAACAAGTCAGAATAATTTTTAAATCAGCACCAACAATAAAAAGGTTTATTTTCAAAGGAGAGTAAAATAACTGAGTTTGCTGCATGCTTGTGGTGGAATGACCTGGGAGAACTTGGAGCCTCTTTATGAGATCAAAATGGGGTTGAGGCTATGGGCTCCAGAGCTCTACACTAGAACAGCCCCAAAAGGACACTTTCACAGCACCCTGGGATTGGTTGGTTGGTTACAACCGGGGAAACCAAGTGCTGACAAGAGTAGCACACGCCTGTAGGGTGAACTATTTTTACCACATAATTGTGAGCGGTCAACATTAAGCTTTTAGTTACACAGAAAAATGACAGCTCGGGGACTAACCCAGCATATTTTGGCTACATGACCGTGGTATGGGAGTGTTGCATTATTTGCGGAGTTAACTGACAATTTTCCACTCATTTAAATACAAGGTTTGCTGTATTATAACTGTTGAAAGTCTGAGTGCAGAGAGAAAGAATGACAAAACATGCATTTTGCACCACAGTGCAGTTGGTTCCAGTGGGGAAATGTTCTCAACTCAGACTGAACTAAACTCTATCATTGAGCTATCTGAGACTGAATAGTTTATTTATAGTTTCGAGGATTCAAAAAAATTAAATATTATTAATATGCCATTTAGCAGACGCTTTTATCCAAAGCGACTTACAGTCATGCGTGCATACATTTTTGTGTATTGGTGGTCCCAGGGATCGAACCCACTACCTTGGCGTTACAAGCGCCGTGCTCTACCAGCTGAGCTACAGAGGACCATTATTGTATGTTTTATCTTGCACTTACCGTCAGGAATTCCGCTAACTTTGTAGGTGATTCCCCCAAAAGTCCAGTCCTCTCTGAATTTCTTGGGTAGACAGGAGCTTGTGAAAACTTTCCAATCCAGACCTGAAAGAGTAAACAAGATTGGTTATTGCATTGTCCCCAACGAGGATGACAGTTAAATAGTGTGTCTGATTTATAGAAATCTAAAGTGTCTTGCAGCATTATACACATCTATTTATCCAGCATGAACAGATGAATGACTGCAGTTGCCTAGCTTGCATAGCTAAGTAAATACTGTATGACAATTCAAATTACCATCAGCCCCCAAAGCCCCAAGAGTTGCCAATCGAGCCGCTACGAGTCCATTTCCAAGGTAGCTGAATGAGGACAGATATTCAGAATACATTAATGAGACTGCCAAAGTAATGTGAGTATCCTGTTTTCTTTGCATGCCATTATATACATAGAGTATACAAAACATTAAGAACACGTGCTCTTTCCATGACACAGGTGAATCCAGGTGAATGCTATGATCCCTTATTGATGTCACTTAAATCCACTTCAATCAGTGTAGATGACGGGGAGGAGACAGATTAAAGAAGGATTATTCAGCTTTGAGACATTTGAGACATGGATTGTGTATGTGTGCCATTCAGGGGGTGAATGGGGAAGACAAAAGATTGAAGTGCCTTCGAACGGGGTATGGTAGTAGGTGCCAGGCGCACCGGTTTGTGTCAAGAACTGCAACGCTGCTGGGTTTTTCATGCTCAGCAGTTTCCCGTGTGTATCAAGAATGGTCTACCACCCAAATGACATCCAGCCGACTTGACACAACAGTAGGAAGCATTGGAGTAAACATGGGCCAGCATCCCTGTGGAATGCTTTTGACACCTTGTAAAGTCCATTATCCAACGAACTGAGGCTGTTCTGAGGGCAAAAGGAAAATGTACAAGTTGGAAATGTACAACGTATAGTGTGTTTGAGGTTTAAAAAGAATTCTGAAGTTTGTAATTTCCACTTTGACATTTCAGACTTCATTTTCCCTTACGAAAAATTTATCAACCCCTATAAACATTCCCATTAATTATAATCCACATAATAATTCACATTTCCTGTTGCAGCAGGATTATTTTCCTGCAAAATTAAGATGTGTACAGGGGTTGAATGGAGCTGAAGGTTGGGACTAATAACAACTAATAACAACAAAATAACTAATGTAAAACATACTGTGTCCATAATAGGTATATAGGTTGAGAACTTTTGTGAAAGAGCACAGTTTGGGGAATATGGCATGTAGAGGCAAACCGGATGGACATCTTGAAAATGATCGGAGAGGTTGAGGTTAGAGGAAGTTCAGGAGTAAAAATGTATATAGTATGTATAAACTGGAAGTAGAGGCGTACGTGTTGTTGTTCACTAGTTTACTCCAAGTAGGGGTGGTGGGGTTGGAAAGTAATAAAGGAAAATAAATTTAAAAAAGGATATGTATATATATATATATATATATGTATGTATATGTATGTATGTGTATATGTATGTATGTATGCATGTGTATGTATGTATATATATATATATATATATATATATATATATATATATTTGTGGGGGGAAAAACATATGGGGGATTGGAAGTGATGCAGACAATTACATTGATGGAGGTTACAATCTATCTGCAATATTAAAGCTGATCTACCCCCTAAAAAAAATACATAAAAAATAAGATCTGTACAGTAACTGCTGCACCAATGGTTGTTTACTCACCTGTGAGTGTAGAGTTGTAGAGTGTGGTTGAACATGTTGATGTTGGCAATGTAACTGGCTGGGGCGGTGAAAACTGTTTTCTATGGGAACAAAGAGAAGGGTTGAGTAATGTGTAATAAAATAGCAATAGTTATCTAAATCTTCACAAAACGCCAGTGGAGTTCAGTTTAACATTTACCTTTGATTTTGGAAGGAAAGTGATCTGGGTAGATCCTCCACCCAAATCCAGGATCCCCACTGTCTTCCTGGTCTTGGCATACAAGTGACCTAAAGCAAACAGATGGAAAGTCAAACACACAGAACTGGAAATAGAAAACTATATACAGGATGCTATCCATCATTGACATTATAAACAGAAAGTAGAACATACAGGTACTGTACATTGACCACATACTTCATTTAGAATTCATTCATTTTCCAACCACCCGCTTGAGACAAAGACTGGAATTCTAATAGATATAGGTCTGTGGCCACCAAGAGGAAGAAGAAGGCTATCGTTTTGACCATAGGATGGGTTGTAAAATAAATATTATCTTATTATGCTAACTCTGTGTAACAAGTGAGGGAATATTGCATCCCACCGTGACCAGATGGTGGCCAACATGACTCAATACAAGACAGTCAGACAGGAGACAGGAGTCTTTCACTGCTCTGCAACTGTGTACAGTGTTTAAACCTCAGAAATGACTCCCCTGACCATTAACACCACCTTAGCAAAACATGAGCAATGCCTTACCTGTCAGAAAGTTCACTGTTACCCAGGCCAGGACTCCTACGAGAGAGAGAGAGAGTACATGGAGAGTGTGTGAGTAAAACATTCACTTGAACAAAATCATTTGCTATTGTTGCCTTTGTAATCTTGTTGTTGGACGTTACCGATACATATTGCCATTTGAACACATGCAGTTCAGAGACTGTCAATTCAGAGATTGGAGGTTATACTAGTTTTCAATCTTTTAGCAGCTGTTACATTAGTAATATTTGTCTGACATGGATAGACCAACACAGGTAATTACTACTGTCTCAGATCTCATGTTATGGCTCCCGAGTGGCGCAGCGGTCTAAGGCACTGCATCTCAGTGCTTGAGGTGTCACTACAGACCCCCTGGTTCAATTCCAGGCTTTGTCACAACCGGCTGTGATTGGGAGTCCCATAGGGCGGCGCACAATTGGCCCAGCGTCGTCCGGGTTTGTCCGGTGTAGGCCGTCATTGTAAATAAGAACTTGTTCTTAACTGACTTGCCTAGTTAAATAAAGGTTAAATAAAAAAACATAAAAAAATAAAGTGAGGCTAATGAATTGCACATCTGATGAAACAGGAGTTAGTGCGGGTGTCTTAATGAGTGATGTGGAGGATCACTTAATATTGGGTGTGGGAAGGGCAACCCAGACAAGGTTATTTAATTGCTCTATGAGGTAGCGATAGAGCTCTTATAAAAACATGTTATGAGGACAGTGTTGGTAGATACTAACCACCTGGTTTGACAATACTGCAGCATTTAGCTAATCTAAGCAATGTCTACAGTTTTCCTCTTTACCAACATACCCACAATACCACAGTAGCGTAAAAGAAAATGAAAGACAGATGTTTGTGACACCAATATAGTGGCATACCTTCATTTATTCCATTCATTATGGAGACACTGTTGTTTGGTACAAAGAAGGGGGACTCGTCAAAGACTTCCCGAACCTACGGAGACCATTTATGATGACAGTGCATATTAATAAAGATCATCCTGAATAAAGACAGTAAGAAAATACAATAGATCCTTATTATATCTCTTATCTCTAGACTAAGGAATTGTTCTGAGGCACATTTGTCTGAGGATGACAGAATGCAAAACCACAAACATGGCTAGAGTAGCCGCATGAATTTAATAAATCAAATGACATATTCCAATGCTCCAGACAACCCCAAAACAGCAGTTTGTTGCACAGTGATCGCCAACTAGAAGTGGGTAGACTTTTCCCCCCAGTTCTTTCAAGAACATTTGTAAGCACTTAGCAGTTTCACGTCCGGATCCTTGGCAGTACGGGTCATCCATGTGCCTAACTGCCTGAGGGGAAAGAAAACGTGCCTCACCTCATCCAGCAGAGCATTAGCCTTCTCCACGGGCAGGAGGCGGAGCCCGGCAGTGGCTTTCAGGACCACCGGGGTCTGCTTCCACTCGTCCTCTGGAACCGTCTTCTTGGCCACCTTCAGCAGCGCTCTGATCGTGTTCCCACCCTGAATGGGATAACAGGCATTAACAGATGAGCATGGTCTCCACTGGAACACTCTCAAAGCACAGCCGTGACTAAAAGGGCTGATAGATATTTCAACAGTGAATGAAGTATATAACGGCATTAACGTATTCAGTTGATTAAAGGGTTGATATGTTTGTCCACATATGACTTCACATCATCTGGTTTGTAAAATCTAGATCCCAAGACAGTAAAGATCAGACTTAGTGATAGCATCAGCAGAATCAGTTCATGTAATTATACGGTCTACATCACAATGCCTACATCAGTCTACATCAGTTTGAGAAAAAAATATGTATGCACTCACTAACTGTAAGTCGCTCTGGATAAGAGCGTCTGCTAAATTACCCCCAAAATTTTTTTTAAATGCCTGAATGAGAAAATGATAGACCTGATACATACCTCTTCAGGCTTCTCTTTATAGGCAGACAGACCAGGCTTCATTGCATGGTATATCTCATTGTCCAGAACTGGCAGCTCAACTAAAAAGAGAAAAAGTAGATGGGGAGAATGCATTCATTTGTCAAACAAGATATAAATATGATATTTGAAATGTGTGAAATAACAGATGTCTGTTGCATTAATGTGTGCTTTGAAATTTGGGATTTTTTGGGATTTCGGTCACACTAACAGATTATTAAAACTACAACTCAGCTGCCTCTTGGTTCTGTCTTGCCCATGATTGCTCTCTCCCCACGCTGACGGCACGTGTTTGTCTTTACACCACAGAGCGAATGACCCAACAGCAAACATAGACTCTCTGGGAGACAGTTGAACGTAAAGCCCTATTGGCTCCTGGGACTGAGGCTAAGGCTGAGAGAGACTGAATGAGATACACAGAAAAAGAGAGAGAAAACACTCACCTGGGTCTTTCTGAATAAATTTGTAGATGTGGATCCGGGTGCCTGTGCTCCCAGCATCGAACATGATCCCATAGAAAGTGCGGCTGAGGTTGACAGGGTGGGAGACCTCAAGCAAGACCTCAGGCAAGACTTCGGGCACGACTTCGGGCAGGAGGCTTTCGGGCAGGAGGTTTTCCATGTTAGCGGAGTGTTCGTGGTGGACTGTCTGGAGGTGATGGTAGGTTGCCTCCGCTTGGAAGTTCCAAACCAGAACCGACATGGACATTACTGTCAGGAGCAGCATCTGAAGAGCCAAAGTTTTTTAACACCCAAAGAAACACTGATGCGTTTGTAAAAGCTAATTAAAACACTTTACTCTATGGATATACAGTAAGAGTCAAACTGTGCCTTATTCAAGTTAGTCTTCTTCAGAGGAGCAGTGCAAAATGCAGTGGCAACAGCTTGCAGAGGTGATGAGAGAAAACCGGAGAGGCAGAGGCAGAGTGGGTAGTGATGCACAGTCAGGTCTGTCTGGTCATCTGTTTACAGTATATAAAGACATAAGGGCTTGGCGCTGGGCCACACCATCACAGGCCATCCACCAATCCTGTTGCGTTCCATCTAGGTTCTTTCAAGAGTCCCCCTTCTGAAAGAGCTGGATACTGAATATCTGCTTACCAGCAGCATTTCATTTTTTTCTGATTCCTAAACTGGGTAACACTAAACAGTTTTTTTTTTCTCGTTTAATCTTTCGTGGGCAAAATGGAGCCAAAACTCCCCCTAAAAGAAGAAAGAAAGAGGCTATGTCAAGACATCAAAACGACTGGCTTGCAGAAATCTAAAGCAATTGTCTTAAAATACATTTTATTGGTGTATTTAATTAAGACTTACAGGCAAGCTTGTCGATTACTACAATTCCTTCCCTGCACAAGTAGCCTATATTGACTTTCACATGCACACTTCACTATTACTCATATTCGTCTTAATTTTCTTAATTAGCATTATGTAAGAAATAAGTTATTTCAGAGTAGATTACTTCTTATTTTATCCTTATTTTTCTTGCATTAAGAAACTTGTAATTATTATTTTGAAACAAGACTTTATAACAATATCTTTTTTTGTAAACTGATTAAAATGTTTTTTTTCCTAGTCTTGGTTTTAAAAAAGTGTATAAAGAAAAGTAGACATTATCTAATCTACTGTGGTGAAGATATAAAATGGCATAAAAATCATTAAAACAAGGAAACTCCAAATGCTTCAGCAGAATGTAAAAATTCAGTCATTGTGGGGTAGAGGAGTTTCAGTTGAGGACTTGCCAGTTGGAGCGCAAGTTGCATCTGCACATCTCTTGTGAAAGGTTGGTTGGGGTTTAAAGGTCTGCAGCATCTTTCTTCTATTGCCTGTCTTGACTTGGGCTGTCGTGTAATTGGTAGTAACCTGACAGCCCAAGTCATGACAGGCAATACATCTTTCTCTGGGTATGCACAAGTCATTTTTTGTGTGTATCACATTCCGAATCAATCATGACGTGTGTGAGAATTACCACATAACAAAATATGCTGCAGACCTTTAAACCCCAACCAACCTTTCACAAGAGATACGCAGATGCAACTTGCGCACCAACTGGCATAAATGCTGAAAGAATGTAAGCAATAATCTCACTCCCACTCATCCCTGTGCTAACCACAAGCTTTCCTAGGAAATAATATTTTAAAGTCACGTTTCACAGGAGAAACCATGAAAAGCATGAGTGGCTGCTCTCAGTTTTAGCTGGCTTGTTGGCAAGGCATCGTTAACCAGTCTATCAGCAAAATTATTCTAACGTACTGTAATGTTCAGAGTTTCTGGTTTCTAGGAGGGAGGGAGGCAATAATGATATGCTACTGCAGCTCAGCAAAGAGGCCCTGCCTACTCAGAGACCTCATATGAACTTAGCTTTGCACCAGAGTGGGATTTCCTTCATTCAGTCAGAGATGCTGCAGCAACAGTAAACAAAGACAGGACTGAAACATGTAGAATTTGTATATTTCTAGAGACTGCAGGTTTGCTGAACTGTCTCTCACAAATCTGCTTCTGCTAACAGGTACACCACACAGTCACACACAGGGTGAGTGAAGCACAAACTGTGGAGGCATGTGTCACCCAGCTCAGCTGAGAGGGTGAGATTGAGCGGAAATGGGGGCGGCGGCAGTCCTGCAGCAGGACTTGAGGAGGGCAGAGAGGAGGTCCACAGAGAGGACATGAGGAGAGGATGGGGCTTGGCACCAGCATGCCATTCCAATCCCGGGACACTCCGCTATGCAGCGCACTGTTCCAACACTGTAATTTGGACTAAAAATATTGCACTTTCTTTCCTCCTTCCTTTTTGTCTAAATACTGTGGCTACTTTTTTCCAATCCTGTGGTTCATCCTGTGGTCCATTTCCCTTATCAAAACATGCATGTGCAGGACCTCTCATTGACTTTGTGTCAATTTAAAGGTCCAATGCAGCTGGTTTTTATCGTAATATCAAATAATTTCTGGGTAACAATGAAGTAACTTACTGTGATTGTTTTCAATTAAAATTGTCAAAAAGAAACAAAAATAGCTTCTTAGCAAAGAACAATTTCTCAAGCAAGAGTGGGGGAGGGGGAAAACTGAAAATTAGCTGATATTGGCAGAGAGGTTTGAAACTCTTTCTCATTGGTTTATTAACTAATTTACTGCATGGTGATGTCACCATGGAAGGCCAAAACTCCATCCCACTAAAACAGGCTGAAATTTCAGGCAGTCTTTTCAAAACAGCTACATTAAAAGGGCATCATATTTTTCCCAATTTCACAGTATTATTCCAGTGTGTGGAAATATATATATATAACACAGGAAAATCACATTGACAATCAGACAACTGACAACAGTAATGCTATATGAGCCAATTTAACAGGTTGCTGGCTGCTCACACTCAAAAAACATAAGATGTCATATTAGAGTTACTAACTCTAGTCCTTGCAAAAGCCATGATGTCGTGTCTGCTTTCCTCCCATGCTGCTATCTCCAAGGTCCTTTGTGGGAAGAGGAATCGTGCACTGACAAAGACAAATGTATTCTACTTTATAATTAAGTTTAGCGTTCAGACATACAATAAGTACTACTATAGAAAATAATGTATTTGGATCATGTGCAGTGTTTTGATGGATTTGTCCCTTGGGATCGTACTACTAGTCCCTATTGTACACTGAGTTTACAGCATGAGTCAAAACATGCCATACCTTCATGATCCAATTACAATGATTTCAGAGGAGAGCCATGGTCTGACAAGTTCTGACCAATGGAGGTGTGAAGGAAAATGTTATGTTTGTACTTTTCTAATAACCAATTTGACTGGGTTCATGCAAGTGACTGATTGATCGTGCCTAGGAGAAATCCTCACTATCAGTATTAGCAATTTGGCAGTACGCCTAGAACATTGTTTTGAGAACCGAAAGAGGTGTCTCTGTTTCAAGGTCTCAGCTTTGAGAGAAGAAGCCTTGTGTGGTATTGGTCGGTCACATGCATGAACCAAACGTTAATTATGAATTCATTATGAATAATGAATAAGCTAATTCATGCAAATATAACTTGTCTGTGGAACCAGTATATAAGAAAACTAACGGGACTGCCCCGGCGGAGCCTGACCGACGTGTACTATGGTGCATTAAGTTTGTTGGAACCTCTCCAGCTTGCTGATAATAAAGAATGATACATTTAAGATTGACTTCAGGTGTCCCTGGTGGTAATTTCCACAACATTTCGGCGTCATGAAAAGGAACATTGATTCTGCCTGCGGAGCTTTCTAGTGAGGGTCTGCGAGGAAAACCGGTGGCGCATTTTATGAAGCGTGAGGGAAATTCCCATCTGACCAAAAGACGACGAGGACCCGCCCAGACCAGACCTTTACTGTGAGCTGCCCACAAACAAGAACAGAACACGTCTCCTTCCTGAGCAGTATGACAGCTGCGTGGTCCCATGGTGTTTATACCTGCATACTATTGTTTGTACAGATGAACGTGGTACCTTCAGGCGTTTGGAAATTGCTCCCAAGGATGAACCAGACTTTGGAGGTCTACCATTTTTTTCTGAGGTCTTGGCTGATTTCTTTTGATTTTCCCATGATGTCAAGCAAAGAGGCACTGAGTTTGAAGGTAGGCCTTGAAATACATCCACAGGTACACCTCCAATTGACTCAAATTATGTCAATTAGCCTATCAGAAGCTTCTAAAGCCATGACATCATTTTCTGGAATTTTCCAAGCAGTTTAAAGGCACAGTCAACTTAGTGTATGTAAACTTCTGACCCACTGGAATTGTGATACAGTGAATTATAAGTAAAATAATCTGTCTGTAAACAATTGTTGGAAAAATTACTTGTGTCATGCACAAAGTAGATGTCCTAACCGACTTGCCAAAACTATAGTTTGTTAACAAGAAATTTGTGGAATGGTTGAAAAATCGAGTTTTAATGACTCCAACCTAAGTGTATGTAAACTTCCGACTTCAACTGTATATACTTATTATGGACACAGTATGCTTTACATTAGTTATCTTGTTGTTATTAGTTGTTGTTAGTTGTTATTAGTCCCATCCTTCAGCTCCATTCAACACCTCCCATCTATCTCTTAACACCATCCATATTGGATTTCTATTTGCCAGTTTCTACAGATTGTAAATTGAAAATAAACATTTTTGCTAAAAGTATTATTATATTATTGATCGATTGACTATGACTTTTAAGATCACCCAGTAGTGCTATCTGCAGGGTTAGCTCCAGGTAAATATTGCAATCCTTCAGCCATTCCTGGACCTGTGACCAAAAACAAGCTACAAATGGACAGTACCAAAACAAATGATCTACTGATTCGGTCTCTTCGCAGCAAAATCTGCAGAGCTTGGAAGATTGTATCTCCCATATAAATAACATTCTATTGGTAGCAAGAATTTTGTATAATCATTTAAATTGAACAATTCTAAGTTTTGAATCCGCCGTCATTTTGCGTATCAGTTCATAAACACTATGCCATGGTATCGTGTCACGTTCGTTGTGTAAATGGTCGGACCAAGGTGCAGCGTGGTATGCGTACATGTTTAATTTATTAAATAAACACTTGACAAAATAACAAAAGCAACTGAACGTGAAGTTCTAAAGGCTAACAGCAACAAGCCTAAACAGAAACAGAAAAAAGATCCCACAACATAGGTAGGCAAAATGGCTGCCTAAGTATGATCCCCAATCAGAGACAACGATCGACAGCTGCCTCTGATTGGGAACCACAACCGGCCAACATAGAAA